AAAAACCAACAAGTTTAGAAGAAAAAACTCGTAATTTATGCACATTACAATATTAAAACACAATAACCCTAGTTTCAGAACCTTTTCTCGTTCTTATAATACATCTTTCTTTAATAATAATAAATGGCTTCCGTTGTTAGTTTGCCACACATAGATAAAGTGCAGGATGTCCAAGCGACTCTTGACACAAAGGTTGTAGAAAGAGCCAATAAAGAAGACATTTCTCTCATCTCAAATGAGTCTGAACTTAACATAACACTGACAAAAGAAGAAAGTAATGAGGTTGTGTCAAATTCTTCCAAAGATGTTGTGCTCCCCTTGGAACAAAACGAAAATTCCCTCCAATCGGAAGAAGCTGATTTTAACAAGGAGGCCTCGCCAAATATTGAGTTGCTCGTCACGGAATCTAATGAAATGGAGACAGTTCAACTTACTGAGCACGAAGAGACCTCTGTCGAATTAGATATAGTTCCTAATGAGCCAAGTAATTCCAAGGGAGATTTATTGAATAGAAGACCTTTTGCACCAACCCAATTGAACTTGGAGTTTAAAAAAGATGATTCTCCCACGTCACCAAAAGATGCTAATCCTATTAAAAATCTTCCATTACGCGTAATAAATCAAACATCACCTACTCAACCTTTAATATCACCAAAAATAATGGAATTACGTCGTTCCGAGTCATTTCATTCAACTGCTAATCAAAAGGCCGATGATTCTTCCGTAATCCCCGTTAATACCCTAAGTGTCGATACTAATCTAGCTCGTAATCCAACTACCGTTTCAACATTAACTCCTAAAAGTAGGCGTTGGGCTTTAGCCCGAGGTGTCATTAAATCTGCGTCAATACTTGGCGCTCTACCAAAAGGAGAACAGGTTGATAAAGAATTGCTGGCGAGATTGGAGCATGAAAATTCGCAATTGCCTCCCCAGGTAAAATATCCGTATTAATTTAGGTTAATTTATTGAATTTCATCTGACATTTTGTTTAATGCAATTCTATCAGAATTCAGCCGAATTTTTATTAGCACGACTTGAGAAGCAAAATGAATTGTTGGATAATGATCCGAAATCAGTTTGCATACAATCTAATGTACTAAAAGCAAATCTTGAGACAGTTCAATCATTGATTGATGACATCACGAGTCCAACTACTGATGTATTTAACCTTGATCATCATAATGAAGAAGATGACAATACTCCTACGACTGATTGGGAATTTTGGACTGCATTGATCCAAGATTATACAGGAGTAGCAGCAAGGCTTCCACACTTGCTCGCGGCAAAGATACAACAAGGAGTGCCGGCTACTCTAAGAGGTCTAATTTGGCAATCAATGTGTCAAGCCTCATCTACTTACTTGGAGACCATGTATTCACAATTATTAGTAGAATCTTCGCCTTATGATAGAATCATCCAACGGGATCTTGCAAGAACTTTTCCTCATATAGAAATGTTTAAAGAGGAAGGTGGCCAAGGTCAAACTATGCTTTGGAATGTATTAAAAGCTTATAGTTTATATGATCCTTTAGTGGGTTATTGTCAGGGATTAGGATTTTTAGTGGGTCCATTATTAATGAATGTATGTGTTACATATATAGATGAATGTATCTTTTTACTACTAAATTTCCTACTAACCTTGAATTATTTTCTTTTGGTTCAGATGAATGAAGCTCAAGCATTCTCCGTTTTTGTTCGGTAAGTATTATTTTTGTTTATTCCCTCTCCCTTACTAGTGTATTCATATGCCTATTTAACATTATCATTTTTGTTGCACAATAAAGTTTAATGGAAACATATGACATGCGATCCATGTTTACTCTCAACATGGAAGGACTTCAATTACGTCTCTACCAATTTTCAAGCCTTCTTTCACAAATCCTTCCAAAACTGCATGCTCATTTCCAGCATCACGCTGTTCACGCGGCGATGTTTGCATCTCAATGGTTTCTATCACTCTTCGCATACACATATCCATTGCCTCTAGTACTCCGAATTTATGATGTAGTATTTGCGGAAGGCGCGCCAGAAACTATCATGCGCGTTGCAATTGCATTATTACAAAGGAATGAAGAGAAATTGTTGGAGATGGGAGAGTTTGAGGATTTATTGGATTTTCTTACCACTCGACTCTATGAATCTTATGATAACAAGCCGACCGGTTTGATCAAAGATGCAATGGGGTTGAGTTCTGTAATTACCAAGGCTAAATTGGATGAATTGTCGGGTAGTTATCTTAAGGAATTGGAGGAACAAAAGAAACGTGCTGAAGAATTGGTCGCTGTTCGATTCCAAGGAAGATTTGGCAGAGCAAGCAAAGACAACAATAAAAAGACCGTTGAAAAACCCACTAAACCAAAGAGGTGGTCACTTGCCGCATTTCCTACTCGAAATTCAGAGATTACCTCACCATCGCCATCACCATCTCCGTTATCTACTTCAACAATACCATCAGCAGATAACGAGGTGCTTCCGGCGACTTCCACTACTGTTACTTCTGCCACTTCCGCCACTCCCGCCACTCCTGCCGCTCCTGCCGCTCCTGCCATTAATACTACATTACCATCTCCGCCATTATCAGCTACTAGTCCAAGTTCTGCAATGCTTCATCAACAGATTGAGGACTTGGTTACCGCATTATCGGAATTACAGAAAGAACATGCGGATATCACTGAACAATTGGTGAATATTAAAATGGAAAAAATGGATTTAGTGACGGAAGTGGAAAGTTTAAGAAGCCGAGTTCGAGATTTGGAAAAAGAAAAGAAAAGAATGTCTACTGCGTCATCTTTATTGTCTATTGATTCGGCCATTGCATCTAATTACGATGGAATTACAACATCAAGAAGAGGATCTGCTGCTTCAGGTTCATCATTGGCTATTTTATCACTTCAGTCAGAAGATATTGACTCTACTCCACGCCAATCAACTGAAGTTAAGTCCAAAAGAGCAACAGCACCATTACCAACAAATGTTGATCCCGCTGATATGTCAAAACTCCGTAGGGTTTCCGCACCTTCTTTCGTGACTGATTCTCGTGGTTTCAACACGACATCCTCTTCATCGTCTGCTTCCAATTCCACTTGCAATACTTCTCCAACCACGGAAATCTCTGAATTCGATGCCATCGATCTTTCATCAGACAGTCAAAAACTTGAAGTTTCAAGTAATGAAAGTGCAATCACTGAAGAATTGATTCAAGTTAAAATGGAGAAGTTTGAATTAATGCAGGAAAATGATGAATTACAAAAACGCATTGAGGAATTACAATTATCATTGAACGAGTCATTGGATAATCAAGAAACACTACAAGAAAAGAATGTCTTCTTACGCCAAGAAATCGAAAGACTCGACGAGGAAGCAGCCACAGCTGTATATCAACAACAAACGATGGAAAAAGATGTTAAAGAATACAAAGAATTGAAATTGGAAAATGTCAAAATACATAACGAGAATGAAAACCTTAAAACACAAGTTGAGGCATTGGAAGAAAAAGTTAAACTATTGCAAGATATTATTCCCAACGATTTTGCAGGGAATCTCCCAGCTACAAATACACAAGATCGCTCTTATAGACGCGTATCTTTTATGGGTCTCTTTGGAGGAGCCGTTGCTGCTACCACTCCAAAACCGGTCAACGTAGGAGCAAATAGCGAGTCAAATAGAAGCTCTTTGAATGGCAGTCCAACAAATGAGAGTGATTACGCGTTAGTATGTAGAGGTGATTGTGAAATGGCTAAAAAAGTAGAAGAAATGGAACTAATTATTAATGAATTTAAATTACGTTTGACTGAGAGTGAAGAAGCTAGAGAATCAATGAGTTCACAATTGGATGGTCTAAGAATGTTGATTAACGGATTCTCTGAAGATCTTCCTGAAACACTTCCACTCCCACCAAAATCACCATTATTGACTCCGATAACTCCGATAAATTCACGAGATAGTCAAAGGTTACAAGAAAAACGAAGCTCAAGAAATTCAATTGTTGCATTTTTCAGTAGTGGGGGAACCTAATCTATATATATATATATATTTAAACTATATTTCTCTTTCTCAATTCGACATATTCCGATTATTCGATATCTCCATTCACAAAAAGCGGATTTGCCATATTAAAGGCAATTACATCTACTCCACATATTCGATTAGATCGATGGCCAGCAAACATATTCATCATTCTATCTCTGTATATAGTCTCAACGTTCAAAATAAAGACCGCATTATCGTACGAGATTCAACAAACGGTGCATCATCCTATCAAGCAACACATGATTAGCATATTTACAAAAATTCATATTTTTTAATTTATTTATTTAAATTGTTTACACTTTATTAGGCTTGTCTTTATTTTGTATTTATAGTAAAACTTTGAAA